GGATGGATGGATGGATGGATGGATGGATGGATGGATGGATGGATGGATGGATGGAAGGATGGATGGATGGATGGATGGATGGATGAAAATGCCTGTCTGATCTCTGATTACATCACTTAAAACATTAAGTATGATGTTATGTAAGAAAGATGATGAGTCAACAACTGCTCAGTAGCCATTTTACCAGGTGCTTTTTTAACTCATACTTGAGTAATTTCTTCAATAACTGCTTTCTAATTTTACTTGACTAATACTTGACTAACTGTTAGTCATGCGACTTGTTTTTGGCTAGTCTACGCACCTCTGATTATAACTTAAATCTCAGGTCACAAAAGTAAAAAAAGGTTCACCTTAATTTTGATTATTTAGCTTAAATGAAGAGTTCTCACCATCAGGACCCCAAAGGACCACCAGTCAGCACTTTGTGTGTGTCCTCTCCTGTTTACAACCTCAGGAGCCATATATTCAATGGTTCCACAGAAGGAGTAGGCTCTTTTATCATGGTCAATGGCTTCTTTACTCAGTCCAAAGTCTGAACAGGAACATGGAGACTGAGTGAGTGAAGACTGGACAGAAATCAGACAAAGAAATTGCTGTTTGCAGCTAGTTATTCTGACCTGTGATCTTTATGTGTCCTTCTTCATCCAGGAGAATACTGACAGAAAAGACAAGCAATGTTAGAAATGACCCTTAAAGGATTTAGATATATAGAATTCTATCAAAAAATAGTCTTAATGTTGTAGTACTTTTCAGGTTTAAGGTCTCTGTAGATTATCCCCAGACTGTGTAGATGATCCAAGGCCAGAGCCAACTCTGCAAGGTAAAACTTCACATCCTCCTCTGTAAACATTACCTGGACAAATAAAGGGATGCAGATTTAGTAACAGTTCACCAAATCTCAAATTAGACATGTCGCTCATAACCTATAGTGGTAAAAACAGTGAATTACTCAGACATCAGAAGGTTTTCCTGGTAGCAAATCACTACACGGGTTTGTTCTTTTATTCATCTCTAAGAGAAGTATCTAAAAAAAAATTTAGGTTATAAAAGTTGCATACTTAACCCCAAATGACTTCTAAATGATGCAAAAACTGAATAGAGTTTAGCCTCAACATAGATCCAAATGTTTTTTTTCTCACCTCCTTTGACAGACGAGTGAAAAGGTCTCCTCCTCTGAGGAAATCCAGGATCAAATAGAGCTTCCCTTCAGTCTGAAAAGCTGCACACATACAGAGATATGCACGTTTCATAAAACATAATTACTTTGCAGTATTTTGACAAAAGTCAGTATTTGATGGATTAAAAAAACTGAACAAACCTGAATAAATACTAAAAATATTTTCTATTGCTTTTTGTAAACTGACTAGTTACAGTAGCATCAATAAATGGTAAATGGACTGTACTTATGTAGTGCTTTTTTAAGTCATAGGACTCCAAAGTGCTTTACACTATATTTAGTCATTAACCCACTCATGCACAAACTGATATTGCATGATGGGGCTCACTGACAGTGTGCCACTTGCCCAAGAATACAACTACAGAGAAAGCCAAAGCTGGGTTGTGACCTGGTAAACTTCCGGTGTGAGGCAAACTCCTGATGCCACTGTTGCCCCCACTGAACTCAAACTTGAACCATATATATATATATATATATATATATATATATATATATATATATATATATATATATATATATATATATATATATATTTGAAGGTTGAAGAATAAAGTACTGTCCTCCAGTTACAAAGCAGATGATGTGTCTGCACTGTTTTAACATTGAAGGACAGAGCTGCATGTCAGTTAGTTTCCATAGCAAAGCAGCATCTGTACAATTTTGGTTAAACATTTCTGTTTGGATAGATGTAAGTGTGTTTAGGTAAATACATCTACATCCTTGTCTTACTGTGCATGGGAACTTTGTTTTGACATCAATGATTTTACTTTAATTTCTTTGCTCTATTTTAAATTTACAACACCTAGGGCCGGATCTATCAAAGGTTTGCGTGTATTAAAACGTGAGCTATTTGACTGCGCACGCTAAAAAATGTACAAACGGATCTATCAACAGCGTGCTAAAAGGATTTGGTCTTTAAAACGTGCTAAATAGCGCCTCTTATCCATTTAGTACTTTTTCTGCAATGAATATGCAATATGGGGCGTTTACACGCAAAAGTGCGTCTTGTGGGAGGAGTGTACGGTTGCAGCGAGAGCTGGGATCTCCCAATCTCGTTTTTCAGAAGTGCTGTCCGACG